GTCCAGCTTCCCTGCCATGAGCGTGAGCCACTTGTATAAAATGTTTATGAAAACAATCAGAAAAGATGTCCCTGGTGACCCATGCCTTCTATTAGCATAATAATGGACTAGGAAGAAATTCCCTCTTTGAAAATACTGAGGATTCAAGCTTTTGCCTATTACAGCAGGTTTACTTTTGTGTGTGCCCACTTCATTAGCACATCCTGGCACAATTATCCTGTTTTTGGTACCCTGGTTTCCTGCAGGGCCTGTCTCATCAGCTGAAGGCAGTGTCTTTCTGAGGCAACAATACCAAAACAGTGATGTTTCATCAGCACTAAAGATTTGATCTAGTGTGAGATTTTTATCAATGATGATCTTGGCAAACTCATCAATAAATTTCTCTGCTGCTTTCTGATCAGCAGATATTTTGTCACTACAAATATTTGAAAATTTTCATGCCATGTTTATTTACAGTTCTTTTAAAATTTCAGTTCATGGTGATAGATCTTTGCTTGCTTTATGATCAGCCTATCATTAAATGACATGTGTTCTTTGTAATGCTGATAGATCCAGTTTTTCAATACACAATTGAGATCTTCATTTTTAGCTTTCTGGAGTGTTTTTTAAAATTTTTCATTAACTTCAGCCTAGGACTTCAACAGTTCATCCTGCTGTTTCTTTGAGTCATTTAGGGCGGTCATTTCAACACCATATTCTTTTTTTATTGTTTCTTTTTTGAGATGGAGCTCCAGGATAGAGTGCAGTGGTGCGATCTCAAGCTCACTACAACCTCTGCCTCCTGGATTCCAACCATTCTCCTGCCTCAGCCTCCCAAGTAGCTAGGATTACAGGCATGTGCCTCTAGGCCCAGCTAATTTTTCTATTTTTAGTCGAGACAGGGTTTCACCTTGTTGGCCAGGCTGGTCTCAAACTTCTGACCTCAGGTGATCAGCCCAGCTTGGCCTCCCAAAGTGCTGGGATTACAGACATGAGCCACTGTGCTGAGCCTCAACACCATACTCTTTTATAAGACATTTTACATATAAGACATATAAGACATTTTACATCTTCCGTAAGACATTATGCTACTGTCCAATTTATCCAAAGCTTGACTTTCTGTGTTATAAGTATACATAAATGCTTCCTTTCTTTCTTATCACTGTTACCTATAAGTATCTGCAGACCTTTTTGATATTTTCAACAGTATATTTGCATCACAGAGTAGAGAATAAGAAAAAACACACACACACAGACAAATGCACATAAATCTTGGCCCCATGGAGGCAGAGCTGTGAATCTGCTGTAAGCTCATTCATTCTGCACAGGTGCCATTTATTATAATTATATATATTTTTACCCTTTGTGGACTTGTTTTCATGGGGAAATCTGGGTGTGCATCAAAAAAACATATCACAACTGAAAGGGGCTGGGAAAGTCTTTTTTCTCTTGTTAATGCTGAATAAACTGTGTGTTGTGCACCTGCATTTTGACTGTGACCCATCACATGAGGTCAAATAGGAAATTTTCTACTGTGTTATGTTGGTGCTCAAATATTTGGGGTTTTTGAGCACTTCCACTCAAATTTTCAGATTAGGGATCCCAACATGTACATGCCAGAAACTAGCAGATGCCTGAAATATAGTGTGTACTCACTAAATGTGGTTGATTAAACAAATGGATGGATGAATGAATAAATAAATAAATATGTACAAATTTTCAATCCTGGTTTATTTCCATATGTGAAAGTTATCATTTTCTCTCTGAACTGTTGTGACATCATAACATTATAATTTATAAAATTACTTTCAATTATACAAGGAAAGAATTAGAAAACCAGTTGGGATAGAAATGCCTGATTCTCTTCTTGCATATGTTGTTGAATACCAAAAACCTGCTAGGAGTTCATACATAAACAAAGTAGATGAAGAGAGCCGGGAAGATGGTGAGAATGCAATTTTTCTCTACTGTCTCTGCCTTGCCTTTCTCATATCACAGAATGACACAGTGTTAAGTGTTAAGCCATATCTCATTCAGCTCTCTTGTTTTACGATATTAAAACTGTGACTCAGAGAGATTAAATAACTTCCCCACAAATCCCACAAAGTTCCTGGCACAATCAGGACTAAAATATAGGTCTTCTTGACTTTAGTCCAATGGTCATTCAGTTAGTCATATCTCTATTCCTGTAGCCCCTAAATTCTCTTCCTTAACTGTACCAACTTTCCCAATAAAATTTGCTTGACCTAAATTTCTCTCTTGTATATTTAAAGATTGTCTTGAAATATACAATAGACATTGTATATTTCAAGACAATCTTTCTGTTTTTTGAACTATATTTTCTTTTTCTATAGTAACATCAGCTTCTCTGAAAAACATATCCATCACCAAAGGATTAATTTTAAGTGTGTATGTGTGTGTGTGTGTGTGTGTGTGTGTGTGTGTGTGCATCCTTTTACTCACAGCCTTATAATGAGATCTTCCCAACATTTAAAGGGATACATCATTTAAGATATGATTTTCAAGAAATGCTTTTTGGGGCCTGTGTCTGCAGCTGACAGGATCAAAAGTCTATAAAAGATTCTTTAAGTCTCCAAAGTATTAGTTCCTGAGCTCTTTAAAGTTCTCAGCATTTTTCTTCTTTCCAATTTTTGAACTACTTCGCAATGCAACAGTTCTCTGTTGCAAGGTGGTAGTAGAATGTATCTCATTGGACCTGAATTTAGTTTACCCATTCTTTCCACTAAGGGAAAAGGGTACTATCCTAGTGAGAAGAACACTGGCAGAACAGCAGAGTGCTTAAGACCAACTCTCTTATGGAGCATGACATTTCTGTTAAAATAATAAGTAGTAAAATAATTTAGTAGGTCAGCAGTTATATAAGAAGAATCTCTTGAATGAGTAAACACAGGACCTATTTCCTAGTCACTAATCTCCAGCCAATAAGCACTTTTCAACTGTGTAACTCTGAGCTAGGGGCTGCCTTTTCCTGAGTTTCTTCATTTGACTTTTATAAGATTGCTGTGTTAAATGAATTAATAAATATAAAGTGCTTAAAATAGGGCCTGATATATTAGAAGCCCAAAGTAAATGTTTGTTACTATTATAAATAATATGAACAAGTATCTTTGATAAGGGTTTAAATGATTCAGACTTGTTTAAAAGTCCACCTTACACAGTTGGAGTTACTTATTCAAAATTAGGGCCTCTCCCTGAGCTCTAAGCTTATCCTCTAGCAGATTTCAAGACCAACTCTCTGGGATCCTCCCTCATTCTCTCCTTCTTTCTTAAAAATATATATTACATAACTATTAGCACTGCAAAGATCTAAGGAAAAATGATAATCCTATGTCCCCAATCTAGAAGAGCATCCAACACTCAAAGTGGGGGAAGATTTTTTAAATACAGATTCTTCCAGGCAACATAGGACCAGGGATACAACAGGCTTGTTTCTTGTCCTGAATGAGTAACTCACACAGTCTTTATCCTTAAGAAACACAGAGCAAATTGTATATAACAAATGAGTAGGCTATGTTTAAATATTTAAAAGATATTAAGAGATTTCTATTTAATTTTAAAGAGTTTCTCAACCTCTTTAAAATTATAGATGAAGGGTCCTACTTCAGACTTTCTACATCAAAATACCTGAGGAGGAGACTGAGCTTTTTTTTTTTTTTTTTTTTTGTATCACATATAATTCCCACATGCAATCTGAAAAATTAACCAAAATGCAGAATCTAAGGTCCCACCCAAATTTACAGACCAAGAATCTGCATTGAAACCAGACCTTCAGAAGACCTGTATGCACATTAAAATGGGAAAAGCACTGGCCTGTGGTAGTCTTTCTTTCTCGAGATGGTGGTAAACAGATCACCCCTACGTCAGAACCACCTGGGATGCTCCTTTTTAAAAGTATACTTCTGTATCCTACCACAGACTGAGTGAAACAGACCCTCTGGGTTGGAATCCCTTGAAATTGCATTTCAAACAAATTTCTCTCCTTGACAGTTGGGCAATCTAAAGTTTGAGAGTTACCAGAGTAGCATTTTAGAACACTACATGCTGTGTCATTTTCGTATATATGATCTCTTCATGAGACTAAAATCACTGAGCAAGACATACCCAGAGGTATAAACCAAACACTACGTTTGTACACGCAGAGATATATACACACACATGGCGTTAGAAATAACTGCACGTAAATTGTCTTTAATACTAGAAGATCAAACCTATCCAAGGAGGTTCCCTGAGCACCTGCAATGAAATGCAGATTAACCAGTTAATTGTGTCAGAGAGGAGAGGGAGTAAATTATGTATAATGATATCATTACACCTCTTGTACTCTTGCTTCAATATTACTTGCTTGTACTTTCTTGAAACATTATTAAAAATCCATTTGATTCTAATAAGTTACTTCTAATAGAAGTAAAAGTACTTTTCTATCCAAAAGATGTGAAAAGAAAATAATCAAAATATATTGTTATTATTTCTCTTCCACATAGTGATAGTCTTTACTAATAATTACTAAAGGCAAATTTCCCTTCAAATAACCAGGCTGAAAGGTGGTACTCTGGTCATGCGGTTCCATAAAAGAGGCAGCCAATCTTTTAGATATTTAGAAAATCCAGTTGGGTAAAATTTTCTCTTTTTCTCTGAGTGTTTATCATGAGAAAAGCATAACTCAAACTCAGTTTTGTCCCAGTTATCCCTGCAAACATCTGGACACTATGAAATATGTATCATGCCCATCTCAACTTAGATCTAGCTAACATTTTAGAATAACAAAATAATTTATCTTAAACTATTAAGAATATCACAAAGAATAACACATAGGACTTTATTTTCCTGAGTTAATGCTCCCCCAGGGAGTTGAACAGACAAATATATATATATATATATACATATATATATATATATATATATATGTATATATATATACTAACAGGGATAGAAAATTGCATTTGAAAAGCATGAGCAATTTTTAACATCTTTGGAACTCTGCTATCAGAAAGGTGACATACCTCAGAGTATAGGATTCCCATGCTGGTCCTTCACGGGCTTACTTCACCTCTACAGCTCCTTGAATCTTCCAGAGGTATTTCTATTGAATATCAAAATCCTTCCTGGCTGAGAGGAAGGTCCCTAGAAGTCCAAGCTGGTGGCAAGCTTCAGGAATGGTTTTCTAGAAAATACCTGTGAGTGCTTTTCTAGCAGCTCAGGCAGCAGCACACCTTCCAGAGAGCCCAGCGCAATGAAACAAAGGCACTTGTGTCATGTGTAATGACCCAAGCCTGTATCATCTAATGTTACAACCCTGAGGAGCCGGTTTCTGAGTCATATTTGCTTTGCCAGTGGTAACATGCAGGAAAGAAGGAAGCAAAGTTCAGAGAGGAAGAAAAGCTCTTACGTTGACAGGAAGGACTCAGGGTTCAAACCAAGGTACTGTATTTCAGACATTTCCTAATCAAAATCTGGTTTTCAGTGACCATTGAAAAAGGCTAGAGACCAACAAACTTACTTTTGAGAGCCATACGTATCTAGCAAAGAACTTGAATAATAGTCTTCAAAATTCTCAGGCTAACAAATAACACTTTTCCAGCTATTTATGCAGTTTTGTAAACTAATAAATTTAGTAACATAATAAATCTTAAGTTGCCTTAAATCTTACGATACTATTCACACATTTAGCTAGTCAAATTACTTTATAATCAATTTAAAAATCGTAAGTCTAAAATCAGTTACACTATTTTGCATTTTAAATTGCATCATCAATTTATCAAACATGCCAGTAGGCCAAATGCCTTAAACATGGTAAACATTTTATATACTACATATCAATTATTCACACATTTTCTCTGAGCTGAATACAATCACATCAAACTTTCCCAGAATTAAAATACGCAACCGTCCACACACCCATTATAATCATGGGACCAGCCCAAACGGGGCCTACTTTGTTGATAACAAATGTCAAGTTACTTTGTAACAGAGCCAAAAACTGTAAGTCATTTTGCCCAGGCATGCACAATAAAAATGCTTTTGCCTCTAACAGCACCTACAAGCAATGATCCCTCTCTGGGAACCAAGAAGATGAGGACATGACTGGAGCCTGAATGCAGGAGCTTTTACAGAAGCTAAGGGCTCATTGGCCCAGAAGATCCAGGGCTAAAATCTGCCCCAACATAGTTTACCTTAAATGGTCAAATTTGAAGCCCTTTAATCAGTCCCTGCCAAGCCAACATTCCTAAACCCTTGCCCTTGCCCTCTGAGCCCATACATTTGCTCAGGATTGCAAATCAGGGAGACAGATTTGAACCCACCTCCTGTCTCCTTGCTGGCCACTCTTGCAACAAAACTTTTCTTTCCTCAAAACCCAGTATCCAGGTATTGGCTTCTGTGAGCACCGGGCAGCAAGCCTATTTGCTCAATAATATAATGGAAGAAATAGTTCAACCATCTCAAACAAATTGTTGTGATTTTCCCAATCAGTTGCGATTCCTTAGTGGCTGGAAACTAGTGACGAGGATGCTAGGCCTGTGCTTATAAATATTCAGGGAAATTCTTCTTACTCCACTGGCGAATATACTGAGCTATTTTTATAGTTATTTCAGAGATTTCATGTTTTACTGTGCAGTTGGCATTGAGGCCAGCCTCCCTGGGGTTTAAGAATTAGCTAATTCTTCCGTTGAAGCAGAGGGAAGTCTGCAATACCTACCAAGATTGCAGCTGACTTCCTCTTTGGCTTGGTTTGATTTTGTATTTCTGTAATCTCTTAAGACATTTAAGTATCTTCCCATTGACTTAGAAAAATATTAATGGTATATCCATTGGGTACTTCACTCTGTTATGCAATATTTGGTAACCTCTGGTAGCCTCTTTTGTAACCTCTTTCAACTAATTTATGTGGACAAAACTCTTCACTGTCATTACTTCTCTGCTAAGGTTGCGGCTAACTTATTTCTTCAAGTTTCTTCTTCCCTGACTGAGCTCTAAATGTTTTTTAAATTTTCTATCAGGACTAGAACTCATCTCATTAGATTCTGCATCTCTTGACATCTGGTTCTAAAGGAACAATACTCAATGTAATTGCAAACAATGTAGGATTGGCTCAAAAAACAAACCAATGAGAAAAGCAGTGGACTCATTACAAATGGTAAAACACTTGGATTTTATTCTAGGCTATTGGGTCTCAATGATGGGTGATCATGCCCCTCGATGGACTACAGATTTAGCAACTAAAAAGATAAGATCTTCAGTTAAATTTGAATTTCAGATAAATTTCTGAAATGTCATATGGGACATACTTGCACTAAAAAAATACATTGCTTAACAGAAACATTGTTTTATTGGAAACTAAAGACATTTGACAATGTCTGGAGACATTTATGGTGGTCACAAGTAGGAGGGGGCGCATGGCACTATAATGTGGGGGGTGGGGGGCAGTGGCCAGGGATGCTGCTAATCATCCTGCAGTGCACAGGACAGCCTCTCAGAGCAAACAATTATCCAGCTCAGAATAATACTAAGGTAGAGAAACTCTAGTCTAAACCAAAAGGAGAATTAAAGGTGAAAAAAATGACTTGGTAAACTGTACCGTCAAATTGGAATATGGTGATATACTGTCAGAATGAGACTGGATAAGCAGATATATTTGTAAGTGTTTAGGATTCTTCCTCTGGCAATTTGAGCCTATAATTACAAAGATGGATAAAGAAAAGAAGTTTCAGAAAACAACTTTCTCAAATAAATGTCTTCTGTCAAGAATGTACCCCAGAGCTTAAAGTACAATAAAAAAATAAAAATGAAAGAAAGAACATCTGAATCCTTAAAATTGGTGGCATCCTTTGATGCTGGCTGTAGATGCAGCCAACCTCCACTGACCAGCAGCCAACTGCCTATGAGGAATGAGTCTCTTATAAGGTATATCCCAGAGACTTCCCCACAAGATGGGTTCAGTAGAGCATAACAAGGGAATGTAGTACACAGAAGCTCGGTTTATGCTGATATATTGGTCCTTCAACATTGTCTAACACTGTCCAACATCGACCTTAGCAGTGGAAGTTATCTGAGTCACACGGCACCAAACTACGTTACCAGCCAGCAATGAATCTGTATGGATCCACAGCAAACTCAGTTCTTGCCTCCTCAGAAGAAAGAATTCAACTAAGGCCCATAAGATGGAAGAAGAAACCAAGGAAAGTTTTAGAGCAGGAGCTCCAGTTTATTAAAAAGCTTAATTTAAAAGTCAAGCACATTTAGAAGAGGGCCAAGTGGGCAACTTGAAAGACAAGTGCGCAGTTTGACTTTTGACTTGGGGTTTTATATGTTGGCATAATTCCAGGGTCCTGCATTCCTTCTCCTCTGATTCTTCCTTTTGCTGGGCTGTCCACATGCGCAGTGGCCCACCAGGATTTGGAAGGGGAACATGCACAGTGTGTTTAATGGAGTTGTGCACATGCTCACTTGAAGCAGTCTTTCCTTGCCTGCTGAATGTCCCTAGGAGGGAATATACCAGTTAAACTTAGCCATTTTGCCTCTTAGTGTGAATGCTTGAGCCCACTTGCTCAACTCCTGAGATCTTACCAGGAAGCTGCTGATCACCAGCTTCAGGTTTCTTCTATCTATTAGGAGACTGCCTTTCCCTGGCACTGGCTGTGACCAGTTATTATTTTATTATTATTTATTTTTATTTACATTGAGATGGAGTCTTGCTCTATTGCCCAGGCTGGAGTGCAGTGGTGCAATCGCAGCTCATTGCAACCTCTGCCTCCCAGGTTCAAGTGATTCTCCTGCCTCAGCCTACAGAGTCGCTGGGATTACAGGCGCCCGCCACCTGTATTTTTGTATTTTTAATAGAGAAGAAGTTTCGCCATGTTGGCCAGGCTCATCTTGAGCTCCTGACCTCGAGTGATCTGCCCACTTTGACCTCTTAAAGTGCTGGGATTCCAGGCATGAGCCACACACCTGGCCCTCAATTATTATTTTAAAGAGACAGTTAACAACTTCCTTACCATCACCTGGTGTTCACCTGACTTTCCTGCTGGGTGGGGGGAACCCTCTCCCACTCTGCTCATGTCTGACTAGCCACTTAATGTAAAATTGGCTCCCATTGGAGAGATTTAAGTAAGGGAGTGTTGTGATCAGAATTTAATTTATATATTAAATTCACTCCAGCTGTTGTATAAAGAGCAGATCTGAGGCAGGAAAGAAGAAATAGCAAGTAGTTAGGAGGCTATGGCATTAGGTCAGCTGCATGACAATAGCTACCTGTGGCAGAAGAGTCCAGTGTGGATAGAGAGAATAGGATCAGCTCTAGACTTTAGGAAGCAGAAATAACAGACTTTGCCAACTATGAGTTATTAGGCTATCTCCTAGCGTCAAACATGTTTTTCTATGTTTGGTTCTTCAGTGCCTACCCTGGCATCCTGCAAGCTGCTTTTTTTCCCTACTGGTCTGTGGAGACAAAAGTAACTTCATCTTGGATGCTAATCCACCATGTTCATTTCTGATTAACCTGCATCTAATAAATGCCTTCTGCTTCCTACTTTGTTTACTGTCCTTAGTGTAAGAACACGTACTCACTATAAATCCTACCTTTAGACCAAAGCAACCTTGATGTTATCACACAAATGATAGGTTATTATGCACATAGCACTCTTGCCTGTTCTGGTGGGTTGTCTTTAATTGTCTCCATAGAGTATGTGTCCCCTTATGCTATATGAGCCCTGGGCCTGGGAAGTAATGGTGTGGAGATCTACCTGTCTTGCTGCTGCAGACCACACTTCTGTCTGCAAGTTTCCCCAATAAATTATGCTTTATCAATAAACTGATTTTGTCTGTCTTGTTCTTTAGTTTCTTGGCTCCTTTCTTGTTTGGAGATTGCTTTACATGTATGACTCTTTCATGGAACATGGTCTATTTTCATAAGGAGCACTCCAGGTGAGATTACAATTCTTAAGAGGGAGAAAGAGACCTACTCATTTCTATGGACTTGCAGTCCTATCGGCCTTGTCTCACCAATAGCTCTTCATCTTAGAAAAAGTAACTGATCAAGCTTATTTTTCACCTTCCTAGAACCAGCCTATGTATACCTTTCTGGGATTCCCAGCACTGTTTCTCTCCCTGAACCGATTCATGCAACTTCTCCTTTGTGATTCTGAGGTACCAGCAGCTACCAGGAAGTGGCCCCTCCTCAAGGCCTGGGGCCCAGAATTTCAAGGCCCTTTTCTCTCCTAAGTTCTAAGAACCCCAACCTCGCTCTCTTCCCTCAGTCCAAGGGGTGGTAGCTCCTCCTGTAATTCTATCTCTGTGATACCTTAGTATTCTTTCTTTTTACTTTTCAGTCTCCCAATATTTACTGAACCAATTCCTGACGTTAAATTATTTCTGTTTAAATAACTAGGTTATTTT